CTCGGAACGTGCTTCACAAACATGTGAACATGGAGTATAGAGGTTTGGAGTACTAAGTAAGTCCTTGTACGCAAAAGTGTGTTGGATAGGTGAATAATTTTAACGGCAGTAAACTGGTTTCCAAGTGGTCAAATCGGCAACAAGAAACCCAGTGTCATACTGCGCCAGATAATTCACAAACAGGAAGAGATGGCGGGAGATCTTGAGGAAAGCTGTAAGCTCAGCCTCCTACACAAATACGGCCGCCTCAACGTGACCACAACCGCTCTGCCAAGAGCGAAACGACAGGGAAGAAACTGGTTTTATCAATAGTCCGTGACAGTCTTCTTTTGGACCAGAAGCTTTCTCTTCAGAAAAGGGGTTGCTGTTATCTGAATGAATGAATGTCATTTATTTCTCAGTACATGGTGCACACAGATCTTAAAATTAACAAAGTTCCACACATACTACCGTTACCGGTGTAGAAATATAAAATTATAATAACAGTATTAATTTATGTCTAATTAAAGAACAATTATATTAAAATTAGTATTATTATTATTGATAACAATTCAAATAAATTAAAACAGGTAAAGTCAGAAAATAAATTAGGAATGTCAATAAAATTAAAATGTCATGAAGAAATTATGTATCAAATATTGTAGTCAAATTTTAATATACTAAAAAGTCAATAAATTAATTGTATGTCATGAAGAAATTATGTATCAGATATTGTAGTCAAATTTTAATATACTAAAAAGTCAATAAATTAATTGTCATAGCAAAACAGGAAGTCAGGTGAGAAATTAATAATTAATTTTGGTCAAAAAACATGGAGGCACTGATTAGCACGATGATACAATGATTTAAAAAGCTGCATACCTACAGCTGCTGTTACTTAGGAAGTCTCGGGTAGAATAAAAACTCTCCTGAACCAACCACTTTTGTAAGGCACGACAAAACGGTTTATATGGCAGCTCGCTAATTCCTCGGGGTAGACAGTTAAATATGAGCGGCGCCATATATGCACAACTTTTCCTATAAATCTCTACCCTCGATAAGCGGGTAGAAGGTTTAAAATGTTGAAATTTATCCGACAGCGCTCCTGCCCCGTCTTTATCAAGTGTGTAGTCTCTCAGTCGACTATTACGACACCCACGAATAGAGCAGGAGTAGTAAATCTACAAATGTAATTAATGACATCTCTTCTCTATATGAATTTACATTTTTGAACGAGCACCTAACTTCACTGTTGGACTATTCTATTCTAATATTTGACAAGAGCCAGTATTAATTGACATCGAAATAAATACTCCGATGTTAACTTGATTCCCATAAGATATGCCTTAGCACTCCTAACAACCATACTCCATGTCAAACAACTTTCTTTGTTTCAAATATAGAACACATGAGTCAACGCTACGTGCGTCAAACGCCAATATGGCGGCCTTGAAATGTCAAAAATACGCGGGAAAATAAATTTACGATGTAAAGTGTTGTACCTATATTTGTTGTCAATTTGTTGTAAAATGATTTATTGAGTTATTTTATTAACTTGCAAAACTTCTTTTAACTAATAATTACTTAGCACATAAACTAACGCCTTACTTATACTGTTAGGGGTCACTTATAATTGTAAATACAATTTCCAGTTAGAAGTTTTGTGTTCCAAACCTAAGTACCTGATCATGTTTTTCCGATTCTCAGTTTAAAACTCTTAGTTTTTTCACAGAATTTGGAATTGTGCCCGATGAATGGCAATGGGTTCTGCTTGGCCCTTTTATTAATATCTGACGAGGAGTGAAGCTGTAAACAAATTACGTTAATTTGTGATATATTATGAAACTAGCTTTAAACAGTGGCTTCACTCGCGTGCCCGTGGGATTAAAAGTTTCTTTTTTATGGCATAAGCCGGTAAACGAGCAGACGGATAATCTGATGGTAAGCAATCGGCGTCGCCCATGGACACTTGGAACACCAGAGGCGTTACAAGTGCGTTACCGGCCTTTTGGGGATTAGGTGTTTGAGGATCGTTGGGGATTCAGGGATTGGGGAGATTAGGGAAGGGGAGGGTAATTGGGCCTCCGGTAACCTCACTCACACGGCGACGACAACGCAAGCGTTGCTTCACGTCGAGTAGCCTATTTGTTATTCCATACTCTAATCTACCCTTCTGTTCAGAATTTCATTGTGATCCTTTTAGCTGTTATGGTCTGATTGTAGTAATAAACATTATACAATGCATCGTTCATATCGCATGCAATTGCTCGATTCCCTACAATATGGTTGAGTTGGGCGTTGCTGGTGTACGTGTCATGTTCGTGGACGAGAGCCGTCAACTGGGACTGGTCAGCTCCAGACTAAACTAAAATTATCCTTAATGTTATTTATTTTCGATATCAATGACTGGATTTTGGTGTTACATTGTTCTCACATAATTGAACCAACGAAACAATGTAACCAATAATTGTATTGTGAACCTGATTGAAAAAGAGTAACATATGGAGTTTCTCGCTCGTTCTTCTCCATAGGAATCTTTGGAACGAGCAAATAGAGCAACTAGAGTACTGTTATTTTTCTTTAATATTTAAATAATTCATTGTGTGCCTTCCTGGGGTTTACTCTTGAATCCAATTCCGATCGGTCGACATTGAAGGTATTCCTCGTAGCGCTCCCGTATTACTTACTTACAGTACTTATTACCTAGTTCTTATCGATAATTTCAATTAGTAAAGTCCCATCTCTATCCGAAAGTTAATCATGGGAGCGCTTCGAGGAAATGAATTTTAATATTTTTAATCGTTCCTCAAAGCGCTACTTTTGGGAGCGCTTAGATGGGCGCGCTTCAAAATGGGAGCGCTACGAGGAATACCTCCGACATTGGTATTGTGAAATTTCGTACTCTTGAGTTACAACACTAGCGCCCATTACATCCGTATTGCGTGGATATTGAATGAACTAAATGGTATTGAGTTTGGCTTTATATTCCGTACTCTGAATGTTATTTTAATAGCTACGATTGTGGTTGTGTAGTTTTGACATTGAATAATGATGAAGATTTTATTGGATTGAATTTTCATTGACATTGAGATTGGTTTCAAGAGTAAGCACCCAGGTCCTGATGGCAGCACGCAAGTGTCCGTTTCCCAACGCTAACATATACCACATAAAATACAGAATCATTTCACTATCAGAAAACCAGACGCTCTCGAGTAGTAGATAAATAAATTCAGGCTGAAATTCAGGCGTAAACATAATCTAGGCAAGGCAACGTTTCAAGTGTGGTTTAAATGGTCTAATTTTAGATACATCTGGTTTTACTGTTAACCACCTCCTGTCTGTGTTTTCCCTGAAAGATTTATTAAAATTCTACGATAACTGTTTTATTTTTAAGAAGGGAAAATTATCGGATGACTTCTCCCGCCTGGGTGAGGCGGGAGGTAGTGTCAGACTGTTACTGACTAAAAACCACCCCGTCCCTACTCCTGCACTTCGAACCGGAGCCCCGGTAATTCGTTAAGTTCTCCACGGCTCCGTATCGGCCGGCATTAGCCCTATTGGGCCCCATCCGTGGTGGTCTGATGGCTCTTTAAGCCGTACGCTCGGGGCTAGTTCTGGTCGGGTTCCCCTGCTACTATTGATTGTAGCGTAATGTTTCATAGCCTATAGTCTTCTTCGATAAATAGGCTATCCATCATACCATCCAGTCATAGTGGCTTGAAGGTTTATGACGCCCGCTTCTCATGCATGAAGGTGCGGGCTTGAAACCTATCAACGGCAAGTTCCAATGTGACTTTTTCCGAGTTATATGTACTTTCTAAGATTATCTAGACACCACTGACAAACGGTGAAGGAAAACATCGTGAGGAAACCTAGACTTATAACTTCTAATTATAAATTTAAAATTTCCAACCCGCATTGAGCAAGCGTGGTGGTTAATGCTCTAACCTTCTCCACATGAGAGCTCTATGTATGGAACATAACAAGAATTATTGAATTCAGACCAGGAACTGCGGAGATTAGCCCGTCCAAACAAATTAACTTTTCTGCTTCATACTTCATACATACAATGAAACCTGGTGAAGTGAGACATCAAGGGACCTGGAATGTCGTTTTACCTAAAGATATATTCCACTTACCCAGTGTCTCAGATCTACAGGTATAAATAGATATCTGTCTCATTTACAGAGGGTTCCATTAATAGAGGTGGACTTGGAATTGCGTGTGGAATTTGTGGGTAGAATCAGAATGAGTAAACAAACAATGTTATCTTAGTTACAGAGGTTTATGCATATAAAATTTACTCGCTGTCTCAGTTATAGAGGTAACTATGATGATAAATCGAAAGAACAAATCCCAGATATAGAGGTTTACCTCGTCCCACTAACAGAGGTAATTCAGTGCCAAAGTGTTGGGACCTCAGCATGAGTTCCAGTTATGTAGGTTCCTCACTTATCCAGGTCCCACTTAACCAAGTTTCATTGTATTAAGTATAGATATTAGTAAACATGTGATAAAACAGTAGAGTTTATTGAACGTTTCGAACTTGCCTTGATATCTTAAAACATAACATC